TTTATAAGTTGTATGAACTTTGCTAAGTCACTTTCTCTGAATGTAACCTTCTGATTCCAAAACATTAACATAAAAATGCATATATCAGAGGGTTAAATTATATAGTACATGTAAATATAGGAACATATACTGGAGAAATATAAAATAAGACAAATCCTCCTGTCAATCAAGAAAACTCACGAAAGTAAAATAGTTTTGTTATCAAATGAACATTAAGCTGTAATGTGATGTGCATCATAGTCTGCTAAGCGATTGCAGAGACAGAAAGAAATCTTCCCCTTTTATGTGCCAAGCAGATACAGTCCATCACACACATGTTCTCAAAATCAACCGTAACTAGTCCTCAAGTAAGATGACTTGACAGCACCACTTGTCACACACAGGTCATCCTAAGTTCACCTGGTAACTATGGTGACAGCGTTTGCTGATTAGCTTTAGCCAAAGGAAAAATAAACCTCTTATGCCTTAGTGATGGGAGGTAGCTTTACCACTTGGAGTAACGGGTCCACTAAAGTTAGGCTCTGACTCTCTGACAGACACAAGGAGATAGGGGTGCGATCTTCCATGACGATAACATTTTAAAGAAATGGCTCCCAGGTCCTTAAGACATTCCTGGAACAATCTAAATTACATTACCTATCATCAAGTAAGCATGTTTTTCACTTCCTCTCAAAACTAAGACTGGTACATGAAGTCTCCAAATGTTTGTTTCTTCTGTCCTATTAAGTAGCAGTAAAAATAAATACGCAAAAGAACTGAATATGTTCTCAATGTTTTCAGTGTTACAATTCATTCGTGTGAATTAAAAATATTGCCTGCCATATCAGCAAAGAAAGGATGCTTCCACCATCAAGACCTCAGCCTCTACCGCTGACCCAACAGTGAGCCAGCTAGAACTCAGGATGGAGACAAGACAAGCAGGCAGCCCGGCCTCTGCCACCACCCCCACTGGTGCACCCTGAGGGAACTCAGGACGCGAAAGCGCAGGATACTGGCCCTAGACAGCCCGGTGCTCAACAAAGGAACGATTTCAATGAACCTAGACTTTTGCACCTTCCCATACAAAAACAAAAACAAAAACAAAAGCATTAAATTCCTTAAATTGAGATATCTGGTTTTCTCTAACAGCAATATTTTAATGTTCTTACCACCTGGTTTTTGTTGCAAAAACTCCTATATATCCTGGCTCTCCCCCTGGCCCTTTGGAGCAGCCCCTCAGAGCTAGCTGAGAGGCTGGATGTTGGCCTTAAATCCTTAGAAGTGTCTGCTTAATAAAACGTAACTCCCAACTTTTAGGTTGTGCATTTTTTTTTCAGTCAACACATGCAATAAAGATTACTCCACATTAATGCCCAAACAGAAACACTGAAGCAGGAATTTAACTGTAACAATTTTAAAGGCCCAAAACATTTAACAGAGCTTGGAAACCCAGTGGCTCCACTTCAGGAGATTAAATAGCCAAAAAATATTTCTCTGTGCAGTTTGCAGCTCTGATAAGACTATGAGGTAGACACTAATGGCCTTAAACGGCTGCAGAAGGAAGTACCTGAAGGTTCGGGGACCGTTCTTTGACTCTGGAAGGACACGCTACACAGCGGGCACTTACACAGTCACGACACGGGGGCCTACCTGTCTCTCACACAGTGTCGTCCCACGACTTCACGTCTGGTTGACAAACCCATCTTGGTCCACTTCCTGAGAAGAAAAAACAAAAACTACTGAGGTAGAAGTAACTTCCAGGTTTAGACAGGACTACAGCCAGTATAGTCATATGTTTATACAGATCCTCGTTAACACCTGGAGAGAAAAGACAGGGGCGGCCCCAATTGTCAAGGTTAGCACTTGGAAGACAATTGCTGAGCAGGACGGGAACAGGCTGAATCCTGCTGCTCTGACAGTTTGCTGGAGGCATGAAAATGTCAATTCAAATGAAGGGGCAGACTCCACATTCCTTAAAATGACAAGTAAATTCAGGCACATAGTGAAAGATAGTATTGCTTGTCATTCTCTAGTTTACAAATACCTTAATAAGTTGTGGTAACAAAGAAGAAAACATAGCCTTTAAAAAAACTTCACAAGGAGTAGCTGACAAATGGACAGTCACACATGAAAGAGATTGACACACTTCTGAGTAAAAGATTATGTAGAAAATATTAAGATCTAAAAGATTTAAATATCCTGGTCACAAAGCATAATCTAATGTTCCTATATTAAGTTCCTTTATCCAACAGTTAGAGTACACTCTCCATAAACATCTGTGAAATACATTTAAAAAACTGCCTAGCACAACTCAAAGCACAGGCCAACAAACAGCACAGGGCATTATCTTAGGACAACGTTCTTTGACCACAATGAAACAAAATGATAAATACCATAAAATATTAGAACCCCCAAAATATTTGTTTATGTTTAAAATCATTCTTCTGTAAAATTCATAGATCAAAGAAGAAACTACAATGGAAATAAAACAGACCTCTGTGAGGGAAAGAGACAAAACACAAAATATAAAATGAAAAAGGGAAACTGGCTAGCAAGTAAAACAATTAAAAAATAATAAAAATATAGTTGTTAGAAGACACCCTTGGGAGTTTCAGGTAAAATCTGAAACTGGAGGGCAAGGAGAGACCAGAGGAAGAGGCGGACCGCTCCAAATTGGCAGGGGGCAGTTTTAATAAGCAAGGGAGCTAATTTACAGCGCTCATCTTGGGCGGCCATAGGACAAGCAGACCTCCACACCTGCCCACCGCTATCTTAAGAATGTATACAGAGGTCCTAATCAGGTTCCATCACATATTCAGTTCAGATGGACTCAATAACCTTTACTCTCTCAAGGTTACGTCCTTGAAACCGGGTCCCACTGTGGAAACACTGGGCTGAATGTGTTTTCTTAGACGGGAGGGGGTGAGGAACCACCAATTGCCAGGGTCCAGCTCACATGACTTCCTCCAACAATAGTCAGCTGGACTCTAATCAAGATGACGACCAAGATTAAACAGATAAATTACTCAAAAATTATTAAAAGCCAACACTGTTGCAAAAGAAATAGAAAACTTAAGTTTTAAAGGTATCAAAATAATAATTGAAACCCTCCCCAAAAAATGTTTGTAGGTGATTATTCTCAAATATTCAATGTCAAGTTTCCTAATGTAAGGTAAGCAACTACTGCTGTTTCCTCAGCCTCTGTTGGGCTGAAACCCACAGGCCTCCGAGGCTTGTAGCTGCCCAGCCTCGAGACTGAAGAGCCTGAAACAGTGACCAAGACATCGACGGTTTACTGGACAGGGGAACCTTACCTGTCTGAAACAAAAGGTCCTGGAGTGACATCCCACTGTGCACGGCACCCCACAGGCAAGGCACTGCTGCAATGTTCCCGACTCGAGGGAGAACGAAGCTACCATTTATAGGAGGAACTGACGTCCGGTTGGCTCATCAGTTACCAGGGAAACCAGCAGCTGAGGCAGGGGGCAAGCACCTAGGAAGCCACTGATTAAGCCCCATAATTAGGAGGATTGGATAGTCATGTGAGTGAGGCAGGCACTGGTCAAGCAGGGGATGTACAGGGAGCACAACCACAGCCACCTTGAGTGGCCTGACCATACAGCCTGAAAAGAAAAGTGCAGTCGGTGGCAGGGAGCATACAAACATATTTTGTAACAAACGTATGTCACAGGTAATTGCTTCTAACTGAAAATATTATTGACAATTTTCCATTTGGAGTTGAGTTTATCTATGACCAGAAATATTTCCATAACAAGCTACAGACAGACTGGGGCAAATCTCCTTGAGTTTGGAAATAAATGTCCAACAATCTACATAAAAAATAAATTTTACACTGCAAAGGTAAAGATGTAATAAAACTGAGTTACAATTAATTGATATATACAATATGAAAACTAGCACACCAGTTGACTAGGTTTTATGGATTGGCTGAGCACACAGCACCCATTCAAGGCATTTCTCCTTTGGGGATAAAACACCCTGCACTCTGACCAGCTAACTTACAAATGGACTTCAGAAAAGACACCCAGTCGTCTTCAGATCAGTGAAGGCTCCCAGGTCTGCAGCCCCCAGTTCCCTAGGTTGATACACCTATGCCATTTTAATAACCCAGAACTGTTAAGAAGGAACCTAATTATTTTCTAAGAAATAGATCTGACTAAAGCAACAGATAGTCAACTACAATTGAAAAATAGGCCTCTCCTAAGCTACTCCTTAAAGCAAAGTGTGGTTCCCAAGCCAGTAACACCGACGTCAGCTCCCCCAGGAAGCTGTGATAAATGGAAGTTTCAGGGCTCCCCCCTAGATTTACTAAATCGGAAACTCTGGGGGCAGGGCACAGCAATCTGGGCTTTAACAAACCATCCAGGTGATTCTGACATACGCTCAAGTTTGCAAACCACTGGCCTGAAGGTCGACTCCAAGAAGCAGCTACTAAAGATGTCTGTAAAGCAGATTTGTCAAACAATGTTGTTTTCTACAGTGTGCCTGAGTTTACCTGTCATTTCAAGGAGTAGCCTGCACCCTGATTTGAGTTATACTTTTCATGCCTCCAGCAAACTGTCAGACTGACAGCACACAGCCCGCTGAGGCTCCTGTCATGCTCGGCAGTACCTCCAAATGCTGATACCCTAGCAAGTCAGGATGCCCTGCTCTCCTTCTGCAGACATTAAAACAACAAATGCCCAAGCCCCACTGCCAGCAATTCTGATTTAAAAGACCTGAAATAAGGTCTTGGTGTCAGTATTTTTAACCTCCCCCCACAGCACGCCACATGGTCAGGCCATTCAAGATGGCTGGTTCTCTTGCTCTTTGTACATCCCCTGCCTCACTCATGGCTATCTAATCATCTTAATTATAAGGCTTAATTAGTAACTGCCCACTGCTTGCCCCTTCCCCGCTCTCTGGTTTCCCTGGTAACTGATGAGCCAACCTGACTTCAGCTTCCCCTATAAATGGTAGCCTCCTTCTCCCGGAGAAAGGAAGGTGGCTGCCATGTCCTGTTTGCCTACTGCTGTACACGGTGGGGTGTGGCGCCAGGACTCTTTGTTTTGGACATGTAAGATTCCTGGTCTACTAACCGCTGATGTCTCTGTTGCTGACTCCGCGCTCTTTCTTCGGTCTTGAAGCTGGGCAACCACAAGGCTTGCAGCTCAACACGTGCCCGCATGTGAAAGCGCGTGCACGCGCACACACGCACACACCCCCTAATTATAGGCAGGATTGAATACCACTGCCCTTTGAAAACACTGCTGAATAAAGGGTACATTCTCCTATTTTTTTTAACATTTATTTTTTATTTAATTTTGGGGGGAGATCATTGGGTCTATTTATTTACTTTTTCTTAATGGAGGTACTGGGGATTGAACCCACACACTCTTAGTGCTTAGCATGCACTCTACCACTTGAGCTACACCCTCCCTCCTATATAAAGGTTAAAGAATCCAAATAAATCTTCATGATAATCTGTGTGAGAAAGATATAAACATTTCTGATGCTAAGTACTTGGCCCATGTTGTTTTTCTACATTTTTTTTTGCTCCACTTCCTCTTCATTTTCAACACTAACTAGATAGAGGCAAAAATAAAAGAAAGGAAATAATTAGGAGCATGAAGTGCCACACCACCATGTCTCACTGTTGTAACTCTTATAAACAAATCTGCACTCCAGGGAAAGCATCAAACATGAGTCATTACCAAGGGCCAGAACGTCGGTTGGCATGGCGACTGTTGAAGACTGGGGACCACATAGAAAATAACGTCTCACCAGAAGACTTTCAAATGAGGCTTGTGCTCCCTGTTCCTTGCATGACAACATTCCCTGCTGCCAACAGCAGCCCACTCTCAGGGTCACCTCCAGAAATGCTTCTGTATTTGAAAGCAGAGTGTCCCATTTTGCAAATGCTGTCACATTCATCACCTCCTAATGCTCTGAAATCTCCACAGGAAAGGACCTTCCCAACATAGAAATCTAACTTTAGCCTCTTCCCCTCTCACAAGTAGACATACTGGCCCACTGAGATGGCAGTATCTCTACTGTGGGATTACACGGTGCCAAATCAGCGCGGTGGTCACAGTCCTATTCAGAAGTCATCTGGAAACACATTTTGTCAAGGTTGTTGTTCTACTCCGTCATAGACTTGGTATGCTATCACAGTTCCCAGAGACGCAACCAAAATTTTGCTCTCACTTTCCATCGCTGCTGCTCTTCCCATCACTGTCTTTCTACCTATCACCCCACCAAGGTTTGTTGGCTTTGAAAACTCATAGCCCCGAGAAAATAATATTAAAGTATTTAAGAGTCAAAGTATATTCAGTGGATCACAATGAAATATTGACATGCTAAATTTTGAAAGATGGGATACACGATGTGACAAATAAAATACAATCAAGAACAGAAGGAAATCTCTTTAACACAATAAAGGGAATCTACCAGAACCTACAGTAAGCATCATACTTCATGAAAGAAAGTGTGAAGAATTCCCATTCTTTATAGGGAAAAAAAAAATGCCTGCTACTACTTTTACTTTTCAATATTGTGCTTAATGTCTTAATAATTCAGTAATAAAAGAAAAGAGGAGATTAATATCAGAAAGGAAAGGTAAAAATTGTCATTAGTTTTAAATAATGAATTATAACTTACAAAAAAGACAAATAAGAAGGCAATTAACTCTAGTTAGAATTTATTAAGGAGACTTCATATAGATGTTAACCCTAATATTAATATCAATAACTGTCCTGCTAGTTATCAATATCTTGTTATAAAATTCAATATTTTAAGTTTTCTTTTTTAATTTTTTTATTTGAACTAATTATATATTCACCAAAAGTTATAAAAATAGTACAGCCAGGTTCCATGTGCTCTTCACTTGGTTTGCCCAATGGTTTCCTTCTAGACTGAAAGTATTATACCAAAGCAAGGAAACTGATATTGGTACACCGTGTGTGTGTTCCTATGTCATGTTATCCCACGTGTAGAGTCAGGTAACCACCCTACAACTCATACCTATCCCCTTTTCTCCTCACCATCCCTAACCCTTCACAGTAATTGATTTGTTCTCCATCTCTGTAATTTTGTCATGACAAGAATGTTAAGTACATGGAATCATACAGCTGTAGCATGTGACTTTTTTAAGGTGTTTTTTTTTTCTCCTGTTCAGCATAATACCCTCGATAAAAACTGGATGTTTTGAATATTATGTGATAACCCTGGAAATCACTCTTCCCCCTCCATGGAGTCTGTTTATGCAGCTTGATGTAGACACTAGCTTTTTGTTTGTTTCATAACTTCTCTAAACTATTTTGGTTAAACTGTGCTTTTTTGTTGTTGTATGTGGTCTCTGAAAGAAGCAGTTCATTTAGCCTGGGTTTAGCTAGTATTTTGACAGATTTCCTTGAATTTCAGGAGCCAGCTGAGAGAGATAAGAGAGAAAGAAAAGAAAGAGAAAGAGAAAAAAGAAGAAGGTGGAGGAGGAGGAAGAGGAGGAGATGGAGAAGAAGTAGAAAAAGAGGAAGAAATAAATGAAACCCTCTCCCAGTTTTTGCAGATTGGCTCCGTGCTAGGCACTCCTTCATTGCTTAGCCAGGCTATTTACAGCCCTGCCTTAGCCTTCACTTCCTGGTTTGTTTACCTACCATAGGACATTTGGGTTCTTCCACTTTGGGGTTTTTGGTACTCAGGCCTTTTTTAAAAAGTCAAATTCATAGAAATAGATAGTTGACTAGTAGTTGCCAGAGGCTAAGGGTGGGAAAAATAGGGAGATGTTGATCAAAAGGTACAAATTGCCATTTATAAGATGAATAAGTCCTGGATATACTAATGTACCGCACAGTGCCTATAGTTAACAATACTGTTAACAAACTGGAAGTAGACTCACAGGCATAGAAAACAAACTATGGTTACCAAACAGGAAAAGGGCTGGGGTGGGGGGATGAATTAGGAGTTTGGGATTAACATATATACACTACTATACATAAAATAGATAAACAACAAGGATCTGCCATGTAGCACAGGAAACTATATTTAATATCTTATAATAACCTATAATGAAAAAAATCTGAAAAAGAATACATATATGTATATGTATAACTGAATCACTTTGCTGTACACCTGAAACTAACACAAC